AATTTCTCCATTTTCCTCAATATTTTTAGCGTATTTTATAAAAAAGGCTCATTAAAAATATTTAAAATTTTTTTTGACAGTACTATCTTTAATATTTTAACTCTCAATTTCTCCATTTTCCTCAATATTTTTAGCGTATTTCAAGCAAAAAAAAAAAAGAAAAAAAGAGGCTTAAAACTTCAAAGAGAATACTTGAGCAAACGCAGCGTATCGTTACCTCTCTGAACATTATCTCGGAAAACACGTGGGAGCGCACGAGCTATCAAACTGAAGCTAGTAGTAGGGAATCGCGAAACCCAGATCTCACCCCGCCGAACCCGAAGGTCTGCTACTGCTACTTCTTCTTCTTCTTCTTCTTCATCGAAGAGAAAGCAAGATCCTCTTTCTGAATCACGAAGAAATGCCGGTAATTCTCTTTCTGAATCCTTCCCGATCTCTTGATTTCTGTTTATTAGATCAGATCTTCTAGCACGGTGTTGGTGTTGATGCTGGATTTTCATCGTGTGCGGTGCAGTTCGGCAGTGTGATAGAGGTGGAGCCTCCGAGTCCGTTGAGATACATCATCGGAGCAGCAATAATGATGGTCGGAGTGGTGTTTCCGGTCGGATATATGATGTTCCGTACCAAGCGTGTCCCTTCCTCTCCCTCTTACTCCAAACAGACGTAGGTGTGCCTTAATGCTTTTCTTTTCTTTCTTTGTGATCAAATTTTCCGAATCTGAAATTGAATTAATCATAGCAATGCGAATTTAGAGTTAATTTTGATTTCCGGTGCTATTTGTCTTTCTAGTTGAACTTAGAACTGTGATGTTTGAAATTAGGAATTGGTAGGTTTTTTCAAATTTTTTTTTTTTAATTTAACGATTCATAATTGATATTATTAATAATTAAAGGATGAAACTGCTAATTACTACACCAAACACCAAACAACCCCTTGATGTTTTTAACGTTTGCATTGTTGACGTATCAGGAACAAGTTTTGATGCAGAGATGTTGACAAGTTAAGAATTTTAGATGCAATTCTGGGGTGTTCAAGCCTGGAGGAAGAAGAAAGGGAAGTCCTTGAGTAACCTGCTATACAAAATGTAAATGCATAAAACCTTTCAATTCTGTTATATGGGTTGTTTGGATGCTTATTCAAATTTACCAAAGATGATGACTTGCATGTTGTTTCATTCAGTTCAGTGGGTTTTGATTGTTAATTTATTATGTGTAGCCTTTCTCTGCTCAGAAATATAGGGGATGATTATTAAAGCCAAAATGAGAATGCTGAAGAACATTCCAATCTCCCAAAAAACCTTCACTTGATCCAACTATAGCTTTTCTCACAAAAAGCTAAAAAAATGCCACATTGACAATAACTACTAGTCATGCCATCTTCCCAGTGCTTCACCAACACGTATTTTGTCCCCACGCCTGATTGAAAACCTGAATTCTGAAGAAGCGTTTCCATTCTTCAGTGATTCTAATGGAGGTGCTTGGAAGACAAGCACTACTGTTGATCCCATGTTGAAAGCGCCCACCTATAGTATCTCATATATTCAGTAAAAAAAATACAGTACCTTATAACCATATCTAATTTATGAAGCATCTAGTTCACAAAGACATTCTAATGCATTTCTAACCTCATCTCCTTTCTTGAGTACCATGCCAACACCTCCAGGTTCATATACACGTTCTTCTGGAGGTTCCAAGTGCAGTACCTTCTTCCTTGGCTTGTTTGTGCGAAGGTCACGTTCTATGAAAAGCTGCAAGGAGTAAGTTCATTTGTTGTCAAAAAAACAGAGGCATAGACTAGAGAAAGTTATTACTTAGGGGCAAATACAAGCAGCAAAATCAACAGTGGTCAATTCAATACATATATGAAATCAGCAGTGACTTTGTTTTATCTGACCAATTGTTCAAGTCAAATGTATCAACAGATGACTTTTAACTTTTTTTCTATATTCAGTGTATTGCATGCATACGGGTGTCTTTGTGCTTTCTTTTCTTGGTTCTTATGGTTAAAGGTTAATCTCAGTTTTGTCACTTAACCTCAATTGAACCAATATTTGTTGCACCAACTGCTGCAATTGCCATAAACCCCTCTCTCCAAAGACCTTCAAGCACAACCTAGGGACATGATAAAGAAAAAAAAAAATTGTATTATAAATTGGTCAACCATATGTTCTCTAGAATTCAGGGTTGATAGATCAGGATTACCCTTTCATTCTCAATATAAAGATTCTTGATTGTTCTTGTGGCACGTTCATTTACCGGAAACAGGCGACCTAGCAGATTTAAACCATATATTAATCATTATAGTGAAAACCAACAGTATTATAAATAATGGCATAGGCCACAGAGTGGAGCATATTGATATCTAGTTCAGAAAAAGAGTAGTATAGGCTACTTAGAAGAAACACAGAAAAATAACTTACCTGAAAAATGGCGCCTAACAAGAACATTCCAATCAACTGGGGAGTGAATGCGATGATAATCACCTGGCTTCAAGTATATTACACAGTAATATAGGCCATTCATTGGACTGTAAGGAAAATTGAAAACTGTTACATATGAACTACCTAGACTCAAACTTTGCAAAGAAATTAACCATGCAAAAAAGACTTCTAAAGAAGTAAACTTGTAGATGTTTTGAAGAGTCCACCAAATTTGGAGACATCACATAAATTTTGTAGAACAGATGCCAAACATGAGAACTTCATCTTAGGAAATATATTGCAAGCAATCAGTCTATCCTGTTCCTTAAACATAATGCTCAATTTAATAACTCAAATAAAACTATGGACATGTTCATTGAAATAAAGCTACATCATCGGTATAGAAAAAAGAAGAAGAAGAGGGGCATAAAGTAGATTAGGCACACATCAATATGAGATTACCGTGCTGGTACTGTGTCCCGGGCCTTAGGAGATGCCAGTGAAATTCGCCACCTAAACTTCTTACCTTTTTCTGTAGGAGTGTTTTCCTGTTCCCTATCAGTACTCGCATCTTGTGTATCCTCCTCAGTTATCATGGGAAGAAAAGAGCTAGCACCAAGAAGAGAAGAAACTGAATAAGAAAATCCTTTCACTTGTTCAATCATAGCACCTGATCCTTTTATCTCCCCAAATCTTAGAACAGTTCCATCCACAGGACTAATCTGTTAATATGATAACACAACATCAGCAACGTTTGGGAGTGGCAGAGATCAAAGAATAGCAATCCCAATATGCTTGTTACCAGTTACCAGGCAATGGGGATCAGGGTCAATAGGCCTGCAACCCTCTCTCAAGGTGCGAACAAAGAAATCCTGCAGAGAGGCATATTCCTCAAGAGGTAGAGCTGCTTCTTCCAGGTCTATAATGCAAAGCAGATTCCACAAAATTAATCTACACTTTAGCTAATTGTGCACATATTTTACAAATTCTCCAAGACATAATAAAATGATTAATGGCAGTACCACAATAACTTGATAATTAATTAAAAAATGTGAGAAATATGAGGCAAAAGTGTCATACTTGAGTGGAATGCCCGAGCCCATGCTCTGTAAACATATGGGCGCATCCAAACAGGAAGTTCCTGAAACATGACAATCAAAATAAAAAAGCACAATAAAATCAATAATGCAGCTGAATAATGATAAAGCCAAGTATTTTACCTCTTAAAAATGAGGTCATCAAGTTAAAAATTAAAAAGAAAAAAAAAAAACATTTTCTTTTTAATAAACCCAATGAAAATAATGGGTAATTTAGTTATAGACTCGTGAACTGCCTTATATAAAAAAGCTAGAACAAGAAAATACTTACCACACTTGTCATGAACCCCCAAACTCTAGAAATAGAGCGCAAAGGTAGCATTCTCAAAAATGAAGCCTACAAATTGGGGAGTTCATAGAGATTTATGTCAAAAGTTACACATGAAAAATAAAGCATTTACGAAAGCTAAACACATTACGATGAAAATGAAACCATTAAAGAAATGACTAGATACATTACTTTTACATCTGGTCGGAACTCAAGTTCAATTCCTTTCTCCCGTGCATCTTCTATCTACCATCAAAGAACAAAACATAACAATGAATAACCAGAAACCCACCCAGCAAATAAAACCCATCATCAATAAGAGAAGACCATCTACCTTCCGTCTTGCCAACAAAAAATACCAAGGCAAGCATTACCGTCATTCTGTGCCCCATTTACTTTAAGCTTAACTAAAATAAGTAAACTTGCAATTTCTTTGTAAAAGGTAGGACATTGGAAATCACAATTATGGGGCATCTAAATTGGTCTTACCTTCTTGTCATCATAAAGGCGACGAGCATGAAGGGCACCGAGCATAAGCAGAGTAGCAGCTGTTGCACCGGGTATCAGGAAGGTATTACCTGCATAAACAATGGGTAATAAGCTTTACACGCTTCTCATTACAAAAAGCAAAAAAGAATGAAACTTGAACACTTTCTCCCCACTTTCTCAGCAACCAAACAACAAATTGAAGTTAATTTGAGAAATTAATAGAACCATTATTACCTTGAGAATTGCTATCGCCTCCACTAAAAGAAGCGCGAGTTTGCGAACTGGTTTGTAGCTTTCTGAAAAATGAATTAAAGAATCGGCGTTGGCCCTGGACATGTCTGAGTCGTGGATAAATCGGAAGAACAACAACATTCCGGAAAAATCTAAATTTCATCTTTTGATTTGATTTGCAGTGTTGCATTTGCAGGGGAGGAGTTACTGAGCTAGGGTTTTAGTGGGGGGCATTAAAACGGAGACTCCTTACACCGTTTTTGGGTAAAGCGGGAACGGGAACAATTAATTAACCGATTCGGATTTTCTTGATAAAAATGAAAAAGAAAAAGAACGGACTGGCACTGAACTGCATTAATAATAATAAGTTTTTTTAACTTGTAACTTAAGATATAAATTAGGAGTATAATAAATATATAAATTTATTTATTTGATATTAATATTAAAATTAATATTAAATTATGTATATTTATATGTATTTATGATAAAAAGGTGTTTTTATGACATAAGTTAAAAAAATTTATTAAAAAATAAAATAAGAAAAGATTGAAGAAAATTAAGACACACTAATAATCAAAATGTTATGAATAAAAATTGAAGGAATTAAATACCCCTAATAAATTAGGCAAGAAACAAGATAATTTATTAAATATATTTAAACCATGAGTTTGTTTAATTTATGCCTTTAAAAATACAATAAATACATATTTTTACAATTAATTTATATAAAAAATTATAAAAATTAATATTTGTTTTAATATTATTGTCACATAAATAATTTTAATTAATCAATTAATTAAATTAATATTTATATTTATATTTTCCATACAAATTAATTAAAAAATATAATAAATACATCTTAATAATATAAGATAAAAAAAACCCTCAAACAATTTCATTAGTGATCCTCGTTATTTTCACTTTTCTCAATAAAAATTCACCACTTTTCTTTTATTTTTTCCGGAACAATTTTTTTCATTTTCCTATTGTGGTTTGGAGGGAGAGTGCCTGTCCAAGACTCAAACCCTAAAATTTAGGCATTTGGACCAGAACTTGATGCTGAAGGCTTGAGCTTCCTTTGTTAAGATATTTGTAAGGAGGAGATCATGCAAATATACAGAACAAGAAGAAAAGCATGCATTTTCCTAAAAAAAAAGGAAGAAGAAAAGCATGCAGCCATTTAGAGGGAATTGGCAATAATATCTCATAAGCAAAATATATTAAATGATGAAGGTACAGAACAATAGTTTTGAAACTAGATAAAGAAAGCATCCAAAAACTTTGATCTTTAATAATTCAAAGTGACAGCTATGTTCTCCAAACAAAATCTGAAAAATGCCAAGACCAAGAACTTCAACTCCACTAAATTCAACGGTAGCGACGAAGGGAGAGAGTGTTGTTTCTCTTCCAGGTCGCCCTGCGAGAAGGCCGATTCTTGTGGTGCGGGTGACCCTTTCCATGCAGACCCCTGTTTTTCTTTCCTGCAGAAGTAAGGCCACGAAGCTCCCTATGCTTGTGGACAGGATTGCAGATCCAATTAATCCTTGGGTCATTGCGAATAGCATTATGTGCCACATCAACCAGGATTATCTCATAGTACTTGTAAGTGGAATCCTACAAGAAGAAAAAAGATACTCAACTTAAGAGAAACACTCGTAACACCAACAATTGTCATGGGGCAAAGCAGATATTTTGCAGGCCAGGCAAGTAATGGAGATTAGCCAAGATACCTCATTGATCCAGTATGAATTGAGAACCCTGAGACCTCCCAATTTTCTCCCAGCACGCTCTTCAGCAACAGACCTCTTGCTTCGCTGGAACTTCAGTTGGGTGACACCCTGGTTCGTCGGCTTACCATAAACAATACCCTTGGGAACTGGCCTCTTTCTGCCACCACGCCTAACACGGACACGATAAATCACATAGCCCTGGAAGACAATTTTAAAGAATCTTCAGATCAAATAGGATTTGCTTTCATATATAGAATCAAAGGAACTTCAGAAAGAACAAAAGAGGATTGGAAAGAAAGAGACAATAAACCAAAATAAAACAGCTGCAATGTCCTCAAACTTCCCAAACTGAAAAGCTCACAAAATCCGTTCACTTTCATGCAAGGATACAATGATAAAATCGAACATATTCTACTTAAACTGAAAATCCACTTCGATAGGGTTGGGTTTAACCAAACAACCACCCATTTCATTACACAGGTACAGTCAAGATGATACCAGCAAGAGCGTTTAACACTTAACAAATATAGCAGCATACTTTATAAAATAATAAATTATCTGCAAAAAGCTAGAATTTTTGAGTACCCAAATCTTGCTTCATTTCTAAATAGTGTTCTATCAATTCTTCAAACATGAGCTACTATAAATCAAAAAAAGGAAAAGCATTTCCATAGTTGGGGTAAGAGGGCAATCAATAAATTTATAATCTCCAATGTATCGTATCGAGACAACAGCACGACTCAAGGTAAAAGAATCTGCTTGGTAATGATCGATTGTCTAGTTGATGTAGCTGGTCTCAGGAAGTACACAATCATTATGCATACATGTATGCATCAAGGCACCACTTAAGCAGCAAAAAGCTTAGCAAATTAAGCTATGTGAAAACAAAGTGATTACCTGCTTGGCCTTGTAACCCAGGCGGCGAGCCTTATCAGGACGAGTAGGCCTCGTGACACGAACAATAGATGGGTGCTGTCGGTATTCCCAGCACCTCACCCTCTGCAAGAACCTCATCACATCGGACTGCTTCTTCCTCCATAGCTCCGACACGTACTTGTAAGCCCCTACATTCAGAATAGAAATAAGAACTCGACGGAGATTACAGGGTCCCAAACAAGCAAAGTTTAGAAAAATGGTAGATGAGGGGAAGAGAGAGTACCCATGAGCTGAGCTGAGCTGCGCTGCGCTGCGCGGTGACGATTAGGGTTTTCGTTTACAGAGGGGAGAAGGGAGGCTAGGGTTTGTTAAAGTATTTATCCGTAACAAAATCCATTTTTGCACTATTGTCTTGTTTTAGTTTCTATTTGGGTTAGCCCACTTTTCTTAGCCCTTGTTCGGCCTACACTACTATTGGGCTTTTCCCAATTTTCTAAGAGATTTGAAACGAAAAATACTATTCCCTATA